AAAAAAAAAAAAAAAAAAAAAAGAATTCCCAGAGTTATAATTTTGGTGATTCTTTTCCTTTGATACAAAGTACACAAGCAAAAGCTGAAGCAGTCCATACAGGAACCAAGGAAGCATGCTAAAAATGAACAGGACTGAGTCAACTCAACCTGTCTCAATGACTAGACATATGCCAAGAAGCTTACACTAACGGTACCTTTAAACTCTTAGGTTGTTGTCGAACTTCCATAACATGTTTTCGTCTTAGTTCCCGTTCCCTTCGCTTATTGTATTCCAGCTGGTTAGTGAGCTCAGTTTGATGCTGCAGTCTGATCAACTCACAGCGCATCTTCTGAATAGTGTTGAGGTGGCGAAACTCCAGTTCTTGCATGGATTCATGCTGTCGTAGTAGCATTGCATGTTCTAAGTCCTTCTGAGTCTGCCTTTTGTTTAACTCCTAAAATATAATTCCAAAGACAAAGGTATACTTTATAGCTTTACAAACCCAGGGGGGAAAACATTAACAAATGTTTTCACTTTCCACAGAAACATGAAGATCTGATTTCAAATCCCCAGAACCCACGTAAATTTTAGCCATGATAGAACAGAGAAACCCTGTAGTAAACAAACAAAACAAACAAACAAATAAAAAGTTATTCTCTTAAAATATTTTTTTCAAATAAAAAGGGGAGCTGGAGAGAAGATAAAGTAAAAAAGAGCACTTGATGCTCATGCAAAGGACTTGGTTTTGGTTCCCAGCACTTGCATAGTGGCTCACAGCCTCCTCCACTTCCAGGGCAACCAACATCTTTCTTCTTCCCTCCACAGGCACTGCACACACATGGTGTACATATAATCACATACATACATACACATAAATGTTTTAAAAGTATATATACATATAGAACTATCAGTAACATGAAAATCAATGGCATCTATTATGCTGCAAACCCTCATTCCTAGAGGTAACGGGTTGTTGTAGATGTTTCTCAGCTTTATCTAATTTATTGGGACATATCCATTAATAAAAAAAAATAAAGCTGGACAGTGGTGGCACACACCTTTAATCCCAGCACTCAGGAGGCACAGGCAGAAGGATCTCTGTGAGTTCGAGGCCAGCCTGGTCTACAGAGTGAGTTCCAGGAAAGGCACAAAGCTACACAGAGAAACCCTGTCTCAAAAAACCAAAAAAAAAAAAAAATAATAATAATAATAAAAAAATAAAATAAAATAGAAATAAAAAAATAAAACATCTCAATTGATTAATATAGGCACAAAACTTTGTTTTCTTCCATTTGATAATCTAATGCATATATACCTGGATCAGACCAGCATACAAACACTTTTTTTTCATTCATTCATTCATTCATTCATTCATTCATTCATTCATTCATTCATTCATTCTCTCTCTCTCTCTCTCTCTCCCGCCCTCCAAAATTTTCGTAACTAAACTGCCAGGAATGAAAAAATCCTCTTGCCTGCCTCTCCCTCTCAAGTACTGGGATTAACAGTGTGTGCCACCACATCCAGAAAAAGACATTTTACTTTTACTGAAAGCTACCACTTTGTGATACAATTTTCAAATGATTAGTCATTTAAGATGGTTCCCTCTGTTTGCTTCTACCAAAGGTATCAACAAATGTCTAACTATGTTTATCATGTTACTATTTCTACAGAATAGAACTCCAAATGTACATTTGACAGGTAAATGTTTACGTGCATAATTTTTAAAGATTTACTTTTATTTTTAATTATGTGTACATGAGTGTGTATACACCACATATGTGTGGGTATCCTGAGAGGCCAGAAGAGTGTCACATCTGCTAGAGCTGGAATTACAAGCTGTTATGAGTTGCCTAATGTTGAGTGTTGGAAACTGAATAAAGGTCCTCTGAAGGTCCAAGAACTTTCTTAACCATTGAACCATTACTCTAGTCACTCTGTATATTTTTAAAAGCTATAGTTCAGTCAGGTGGTGGTAGTGCACATCTTTGACCCCAGTATTTGGCAGGTAGAGGCAAGTGGATCTCTGAGTTTGAGGTCAGCCTGGTCTACAGAGTGGGTTCCAGGACAACACAGAGAAACCCCATCTTGAAAAACAGCAACATCAAAAAGCTGTAATTCAATATTGCTCAAAGGATGGTAGGTACTAACAATGTCCATTAACACCTACGCCTACATCTAAGACTGGATGTTTTTTCTTATCAATATAATTTTAAATTTAAATCTAATCAATATAACTTTAAATTTTAATTTCATTTTTATGATTTATTTTTATATATGTACATTGGTGTTTTGCCCACATATGTGTCTGTGTGAGGATGTTGGACCACCTGCAACTGGAACTACTGACAGTTTTGAGCTGCCATTTGGGTACTGGGAATTGAGCCCAGGTCCTCTGGAAAAGCAGCCAGTGCTCTTAACGGCTGAACCATCTCTCCAGCCCCTCTCTCATCTTTTTGATACAAGGTTTCACTATGTAGCCCTGGCAGTCCTGGAACTCAAAGTCTGTCTGCCTCTACCTCCCAAGCCGAGTGACAACATGCCTGGCTAAGTTCAAATGCCCTTAAAATTTAAGAACTTATCTTAAATTACAGGTATGCGTGCTGTTGTGTGGTATGAGCACTTGGGTGCAGGTTCCTGAGGCCAGAGGCATCAAATCCTCTTGGAGCTGGAATACAGGCAGTTGCAGGCCCCTGTGAGTGCTGGGAACTGAACACATGGCCCCTGCAAGAGCAGTATGTGCTTTTAGGTGCTGTGCCATCTCTCTAGCCCCTGAGTTTCTTCACTGAATACTCAGCATTATACTCTAAGCACAACTTACTTTATTCCATTCTTTGAAAGAAATTTATTTATGTTGACAGACATCCTGGTAAAGGGAATAATTATTAAGACACGACTAGGCCTGGTGGCACAAGCTTTTAATCCCAGTATTCAGGTAGCAAAGTCAGGTTGATCTCCCCATCTTAAAAAAAAAAAAAAAAAAAAAATGGGCTGGCAAGGCTGGCAAGATGTCTCAAAGGGTAAAGGGGTCTGCTTGTCAAGCCTGAAGTTTCCCAGGACCTACAAGGTAGAAGAATACACCTAACTTCTACAAGTAGTCCTCTGACCTCCATATATTCATGTGTCCACATCCAAAGATAAATAAATAAAAGAATTAAAAAAAGAAAAAAAACTTTCAATAACATTTGCCAAGTAATAATTAACAAGATTATTAAAAAGTAAATGGTAATTAATACATACCTCATGGTACCCATTCCAGATCAGAGGTAAGAGTTGCCAAATTAATTTTCTCATATTCAAAAATTAGTATTTTTGTAATTCCCATATTATCAACAAGTTATTTACTGAATGCCTACTATAGGGTAGATGCTGGGCATACGAAGAACTGAACAAAGTCTGAGACTTCATAAAAAGCCAGGTCTAAGCCAGGCAGTGGTGGTGCACACCTTTAATCCCAGCACTCAGAAGGCAGAGGCAAGTGGATCTCTGTGAGTTCGAGGCCAATCTGTTCTACAGAGCGAGTTCCAGGATAGGCTCCAAAAGCCACACAGAGAAACCCAGTCTCAAAAAACCAAAAGTCAGTTCTAATGAGGAAGATAGACACACTGACCTCCAAAATATTGTGTCTTCATGTGTACAGAAGAGGGCGAAAAGCAGAGCACCTTTAGAAGGAGAAGTAATTGGTACCAAGAGGAGGTTTTTCTCAGATGCTATCACAGGGGAAAGGTCTTGTGAATATCTGCACAATAGTGACTCAGGTCAAGAGAAATCCATGTAGAAAAGCAGAGATTTGGAAGTGACTGGAAACTGAAAATTTTCACTTTCTTTCAGTTTTTTGAGACAGGTCTGCTATCCTGGAACTCACTATGTAGACCAGGCTGGCCTCAAACTCAGAGATCTGCCTGCCTCTGCCTCCGAGTGCTGGAGTTAAAGGTGTGCACCACCACACCAGACAAAATTTTCAATTTTCACAAAGGATTCATTGATAAAGAGTTTTACAGTAACAATCAGGAGATGAGGCAGGAGTTACCACACAAGTCTAAGATTACCTTGGACTCAATAGTAAGTTTTAGACCAACCTGGCCCATAGACTAAGGCCTTGTCTTAAAAAAATGTTTTAATTTCCAGCTCTGACTATTTACTTATTTTAATTTTTATAGCATTCAAATATACATACCTCCCTGACAAGGTCCTGTTCCAAGTTATGTCGCCCAAGTAACATTCTTCTCTTGAAGCGGCGACATTCCAGCTCTAGATACTGCCTTTGGCGTCGAAGAAGGTTAGCTTCTTCTTCTGCCTGGAAGTGTTGTATGTTCTCCTTCTGCTTGGAAAGCCATTCCTGCTTTTCTTTTTTAGGTGTGCTCTGGTTTTCATTCAGCTCCTGGAAACAAAACCACCAGAAAAATTCAGCTACATAAAAATTAACTATGTGAATGTATAATGTAACATGGTACACTGATCTAGTAATGTTTTGAGTTTTGTTACTGTTATTACTATGCAGCCTGGGCTGATCTTGAATTTACAATCCTCCTGCTTTAGTCTACTTGTTGGTAGAATTATGCAGGTATACATCCCCATGACTAGCTAGGATAAATTTACTTATTTACTTTTCACAAGGGAGGGAACTTAATGTAGGGCCCTGACCATGCTGGAAGCTACATCCTCAATCCATTACATGCTAAACTCTAGTTGTGTTTTGTTTCTAGTAAGAGCTCAGTAGACCTGGAAAAGCTAGGTAATATGATTCTATGTACATCATAATATATAAATAGCTTTAGTTTTGCACAGGCTCATTTTCATGTTTCCTGGCTTTAAAGCACAGAATGACTGGTTAAAAAGTAAATAAACTTTAAAAACCTTTCCAAGGTTAAAAAGTAAAACTTTAAAAACCTTTCCAAGAAGAGCCAGAAGCTATTTCAAGTTAAAAACAAAATCATATTTTAATTGGAATAAGGATAAAACATTTAAGCATAATTTTAATCCCTTTGTTTTTCAATATTCTGAAATACATTCATATTAAGCAAAACTGAAACACAAACAACTAATCATATTACTCAAGGAGATGAACCCTAAGATGCTAATTAATACTGGTAGATTTTTCCTCAGACTCCTAAGTACAGGATTATTAGTGTACAACACCATCTCTAGATGAAGGAAATGAGTCTATTTAGCTCCTAGTCAACTAGAAAATTTAAGTAACTTAGACATTACACTCAATGCCGTCACATAAGCAGATATATACTCTGTGGCCACAAACAAATCTTTATGCTAACTGCCAAGTAGAGAACCATTAAACACAGGAATTTGGTAAAGAAGTACCTCCTTAAGCTGCTCTTTTCGAAGTTTATATTCTCTTTTTTGGGACTCCAAAAAGCTATTCAGTTCTTTCTTCTGTTGAGCCTGAATGTGCTGCTGGAATTTTTTCTCCTCATTGGCCATCACTTTAGCCTATATAGAATGTTTTAAAAAAATGAATCAAATCAGTTAAGTAGGAAAGTTTAAAGCAAAAGTTTACTATCTCTGACCAAGGATACTTAGTAGTAGTAGAAGAGGAGGAAGACTAACAGAATCATCAGAACACAAACAACCAAACAACCTAACCAGTTCATTCTTTTCAGTCTAATTTCAGATGATTTGTTTTGTTTGTGCAATTTATTTTTTAAATATATTTACAGAACCAAAATGTTTTCCTCATTTTATTGAATAAGAACATACACTCTGCCGTGCAGTAGTGGCACACACCTTTAATCCCAGCACTTGGGAGGCAGAAGCAAGCAGATCTCTGAGTTCCAGGCCTGCCGGGTCTATACAGAGTGAATTCCAGGACAGCCAAGGGTCTTATACAGAGAAACCCTGTCTCCAAAACCAAAACCAAAACCAAAACCAAATACCCCAAAACAAACAAACAAACAAACAAAACAAAAAAAAATCCATACATTTCCTTCAATAAATAAAAACCAAATACATATTTATCTTCAAACATAAACTAATAATTAAAAAAATATTTTTAATTATGTGTGCATTTGTCAGTGTATAGGTATGTGGAGATGCCTGTTGAGGCCAGAGGAATCAGCTCCCCCTGGTGCTGGAGTTACAGGTGTTATGAACCACCTGATGTGGGTGCCAGAAACTGAACTTAGGATCCCTGGAGTATGTGCTCTTAACTGCTTAGCCATCTGCCCAGTCCTATAAACCAAGCTTTTTTTTTTTTAACCTGAGTTAATATATATATTAAATAATGACATACATTCATCTTCAAATTAGATCCTTACCTGTAACTCATACTAAAATGAATGCTAAATATTACATATGTATCACATATAATTTGGGTGGAGTGTGTGATGTTTTGAGTCTACATATGTGAGTGTACGTAAGTGGAGGCCAGAGGTTGATTCTGGGTGTCTTCCCTATTTTCTGAGATTCTCACTGACCAAAGCTCATCAATTTAGCTAGATTAGCTGTAACATTCTGCTGCAAAGCCACTGCTTTCTAGGATGAACCTTTTTAAGCATTGTTGTTGTTGTTGTTGCAGTGCCAAGAAAGGATAAAATATTGAGCCTTGTACATGCTGGGGAAGCACCCAATCACCTGCTTTGATCTCTACCTCCAGACCCTTTTGTAAAAATATTGAGTCTTACTGTGTGACTCGGGTTATCTGTAAACTTGCTATGTGTGTAGCCTACCTCCACCTCCCAAGACCTCAAACTCACAGAGGTGCACTTGCCTCCACCCTCCAAGACCTCAAACTCAGAGGTGCAACTGCCTCTACCTCCCAAGACCTCAAACTCAGAGATCCACCTGCCTCCACCTCCCAAGACCTCAAACTCACAGAGATCCACCTGCCTCCACCTCCCAAGATCTCAAACTCAGAGATCCACCTGCCTCCACCTCCCAAGTGCTGAGAATAAAGGCATATACTACCACATGTAACCTGCACAATTATTTGTTTATTTGTTTGTCTGTTTATTTATTTAAATATTTTTGAGACAGGGTTTCTCTGTGTAGCCCTGACTGTCCTGGAACTCACATTGTAGACCAATCTGGCTTTGAACTTACACAGAGATCCATCTGCCTCTGCCTCCCAACTGCTGGGATTAAAGGTGTGTGCCACCACAACCTGAACCAGTTTGTTTTGTTTTTGGTTTTTTGAGACAAGGTTTCTCTGTGTAGCTTTGCGCCTTTCCTGTAGACCAGACTGGCCTAGAACTCACAGAGATCCTTCTGCCTCTGCCTCCTGAGTGCTGGGATTAAAGGCGTGCGCCACTTGTTTTTGATTCTTAAATAGAAAGCTTTATACAAGTTACATAAATGCTTCTCCTTCCTGGATCAATTTCCTTAGTTCCTAGGGCTAGAAACTTCAAACATCAAAATGCTAATCTAGATAATTCAGAGATGGACACAGTCTAAAAGGAATAAATAATATTAGCCACCTCTTTTTCCATAGCAGCTTGGTGTTTCTTGATAAGTTTCTCCATTTCTGCAGCGAAATTGTTACGCTGAGTTTCAAGATCTTTGTCTAATCTGAGACGGTGTTCATCCATCTCCGCCTTTAGTTTATTTTCCAGAGTCATCAGCTGCTTTTGATGCTGCCGCCTCATCCGCTTGTAACCAGACATCTGTTCTCGAAGTTCAGAGTCCTGCTCATGCTCTTGCATCTGCCTTGTAACCTAGACACAAAATTGAGAAGCAAAAGACAAGAAAGTCAAACATTTTTCTTTCACAGCTTTAGAAAGAAAGCTGGGCATGGTGGTACAGGCCTGTAACCCTAGCACTTGCTTGGCTGAGAAAAGAAATCACCCAGAGCTCAAGTCCAGACTGGTAGTACCATATATAATGAGTCTAAGGCCAAGCCAAGTCTTTTATGTCACAAGACCCTCTCTCTACTAAACAAAATAATAATGATTAAGCATTCAGAACATTAGTATCACTGGAGGAGGTAGTTAACCTAAGAAATTCCATTACAGTTTACAATTAAAATTCTAGCAGATTTTTTTTTTTTTAATTTATTTTCATGTTTGTGTACAACATACGATTGTGAGCTGTCCCATATGGGTGCTGGGAACCGGAACTCAGATCCTCTGGAAGAGCAGCCAGTGTTCTTAACCACTACGCCATCTCTCCAGCCCCCTCCTCTAGCATTTCTTTTAAAGAAATAGACAGGCTTGAGAGATGGCTCAGAGGTTAAGAGCACTGTTTGCTCTTCCAAAGGACCTGGGTTCAATTGCTAGCACCCACACAACAGCTCACAACTGTCTTTAAATCCAGGGGATCTGACACCAGGAAAAAAAGAGAGAGAGAGAGAGGGAGGGAGGGAGGGAGGGAGAAAGAGAGAGAGGGAGAGGGAGGG